CTGCTGGCACGTTGGCCGTCCTCCTTGGGGCTGTGCTGGTGGCTCTGCCAAACGCCCACCTCGATCGCTGCTCTCCTCCCCTGGGAGCTGAGTGTGCTCTCATCTCTGCTTTTCCCTCCTGCAAACCTGGCAAGCCAGGTCCGATGCAGCCAGGGTGTACAGTGTGAGCCAAGCTGGCAACCCCCCATGTGCTGCTGCAGCTCTGCTCCCTCTGTACCCAGCGAGCCGACACGCACGGTCGCCTTACGTTAATGAAACAGTGACTTGGGAAAACGTATTTTCAGGAGCCACGTTGACTTTGCCTCTTTAATGCAGTGTTGTGATAGGGGGGGTGTGGGAGGGGAACCCTTTAAATACTCAAAGCATCCCCCAAAAGAAGTGGCAGATGTATATATGGGCACTGCTTATATATTATGAGCAGAATGAGCTGCCGGTACATTTTTTTATTTTCCTTCTACGCACTCAGGTCATCTTGTGACCTCTCCCTGCTTGATTTATTTGGCAGTTTCTCTCCGTGGGAAGGCAGCAGGATGGGTGTGTTACAGCCTATGAATGTTCTGCTCTATGCCGGCTTATTTGCATTCCCTTTTATCTGATGAATATACCCGGTGTGTTTCTAAATGTCTGGAGTCATTTCTGGTTGTTGTAGTGCTACCTTGTACTGGGAAAATTCTTCTGTGTCATCTTTTAAAAAAAATTTAGATCTGTCAGGATTGTTTTTCTCCCAAAGGAAGTGAAATTAGTATGAGATTTTGTTTGGTTTGTGCGGGTGTATCAGGAATGTTTGCCATCTGATACGCTTGCATGTAGCTGAGAGCAAGGGCGGATATTTTTTTTTAACCGCATGTAGACAACTCAGGCAGTATGATGAATGAGTTTATTATTCCGTAAGGTGCTTATTGTATTATGCTCCTCTTTGCCTTTGTCTTTAGGGAGAACTCTTTAACCACTTCAGGGATTGATTACATTTGATTAGAGAGTAGTTTGTCTTTTGAATCCATTATCCTGGATGAAAGTCCACAAGTTTATTCCATTTTCTGATGCAGCCGGAATTGCACCATGTGTGTATTATACGAATGAGGACCAAATGCAAAGTTACTTCGTAAGAGCCATTTGAATTGATGAGTTGCCTTTTCCTATAGAATGATAATACTGGATTGCAGTTAGGGGTGGAAGAGAGCCCGCAGGCTCATCCTGCGCGCAGCAGCTTTCAAATATGTCCTTTCCCTTCTGTACCCTTCCTCTCAGCTCCTTCTTCCTTTGAAACGTGACAATTCTGGCTCATCCTTTTACAAAAAACCAAAATTTTCCTGGTTTGTTTGAACATTCCTGGTGCGGTGACCACAAACGCTTCCCCTGCTTCTGCCCTGGCTGGAGACCTTCTGCCTGGGAGATGGAGGGGTTTGGGGGGTACTTTCCTTCTGGCCCGTGTAGTGGGGGGCGAGCCGGCTTTGGGAGGGGTGGGGGGGGATAGGTTGGGTTACCTGGCAGGAGTGCTTGCAAGTGTCACTTTTCATTGTTCTTTGAAATCATAACACCCTTTCTTTCTCCTAAACACAACCAATGTGATTGTTCCCTGGCCAATGCAGTGTCTCTGCTCTGAAATGACCAGATTTACATGGGAACTGAAGATCCAGGCTGATGCTCCCGAAGTTTAATGTTACAGCATCTTCCTGCGAGCGTGACAGGGCGATGGGGTGAGGATGGGGGGAAGACCAGGTGGATAAGTGCAATGTGCCCGCAGCATCCAGCTCCTCTGAACTGTTCCCATGAGCTCGGATTTAATCTCCTAAGCTTCTACTTAGGTTTTCACTTCTCTGTAGGAACGCAGCGTTTCTCAAGTGCCTGACTGACAGGGGAGGATTTAAGGAAAAAAAAAAGGTAGAGCCGGCTTCCAGGCAGTTTCACTAATTGCAGCTTATTATAAATTTAACAGATGAACTGTCAGTTTTTTGAAGGTGTGTGATCACTGCAACTTTTTCTTGGAATCTGTGCTGGCTATAGAAAAAAATTAACCCCTGAGGAGCTAAGCTAATGTAGTGCATTTGGTCACTCAATAAGATGTTTCTTGGTTTACAGTTTGCAGGCTTCATTATTCCTTTTATCACGTCTTTAGTAATATTGGACTGTGGTCTAAAAGATCTCTTTGGTGTGGGTTTTTTATATATTTGTATTTATTCAATGATTCTTGCAGGAGGTATGGAAGAACTTTATTCTTCTCAGAGTCTGCTTCCAGTGAGTGAGGCTTTTGCCTTTGAATAAAACGGGTCCTTTTATTAGTTTTGCCCCACAGATATCTGATTTGATAGGCACAGTAGGACTGAAGTAATACTTTTTATTACTTGAAATTTCTGGGTAGTTCAAAGATTCTAAAAGAAACTCTGTAACTTGAGAAGCTAAACATTTGTAAGTAGTTCATCTGCCTGATATAAGATTTTTAAAGAAATATACATATAGCACTTTCCTTAAAGTTTTTGGAAAGCATCCTGACTTTCTGGGTTGGTGATAGCTTTTCCTCCTGTTCTTGTGACTCTGTGTATCATGCAAACCTCCCATCGTCACACTCCCTTTGAATTGTCAAAATCCTACATAAAGTCTTTGATTTTCTTTCAATTTAAATCTCTGAAATCGCACTTAGATTTTATGTTGGCTGTATTTCTGTTGTGTGACTTAGCCAGAGGAATGTCTGGGCAGCTCTGCTTATACTGTTGCCCGTTGACCAGCTGTTCCAAAAGATGTTTTGACCCTGAAAGCTGATGTCTGTATGGTGTGTGTTGGCCAGTGCTGGTTGCAGTCACCTTTCCTCCTTTCTTGCCCTGTTTATTCCCCTGCAAAAAACAATTCCAGGGGTACCAGCCAGCTGACGCTCCTCTGGTTTAATAATTTTGGTGAAACTTTCAGTGGTAGGAAATGGCAGAAAATCATATGTTTGTTTGAAAGTGATGGTGCAAAAAGAAGAAACCACTGAAGTTGAGCAATACCTAAGAAAGCAAATAAAAGCATCAGCACAGAGGTCAGAAGTTAGGGAGGGGACGGAGGCAAGTAAAGGTCTTTCTCTGGTAAATTTAATTCACACTTTTTGCTAAATGTAAATGATAGCTTAGGAAAAAAAAGTGCGTGGAATACATAGTAAATGATGTTGTCAGGATACTTCCTGATCATGTTAATTAAACTGTCCCACAGATTTGGCTTAATTACTGCATGATTTGCATATTGGAAATGATGGTACACATTACTAAAGAAAGCTCCCGTTCTGTTAGCAGAAGGAACGTTGTACATGAATTAATTTCCAGGGGAAGGAGTCTCTAGACTCCTATAATGATGTATCTTGAAAGTTAAAATCTTTTATAACGAACTGGCATATGTCTCATTCCTTTTTGAAAATTACATTTTTTGCTTGTTCCACTAAGTTCCTTAGAGACCTCATCCCAACACCCTTCCTCTTGGGGGCTATTTCTTCAGTTACAAGAAGCACTGTTGCTTTCAAGGTTGATGGTGGTGAAGCAGATATTAGTTAACTCCTGTAAAGTGGCAGAATATTTATCTTGAAGAGGCCAACATTTGTGTTGGTGGTGATGCACTTCAACACCCTCCCAAGTTAAACTCTCTATTTTATTTTTTTTTCTTAAATTTCTGACATGTCTCTGGTATCCTGCTTGTGGAGGCCCAAGGCCAAATGGAGAAATGCAGAAATATCTCTTAGCTTTCCAGTCTGAGGGCAGGTGTGGCTGGTGGACACCCTGCTCGGAGGCCCCGGGCCATCCCAGGTGCCTGGTGGGGTGGTGGCAGTGGCTGTGTGCCTTTGTAATGCTGAAAAAATAGGATTTTGCATCTGCAGTTCTGTCAGGGTGATTTCATAGCTCCTGTCCCTGCGGTTGCTTTGAGTTCAGTGACATTCCTGCAGCGGTGTGCAACTGCAGGACCATGACAGTACTTTGGAAAAAGAAGACAAAACATCAAAATTCCTGCATGAAGTAAGACAAGATAGAAACTGTTTTGTTTTGGGGAAAAAAATCTTCCGAATAAAGCAATTTCCCAATTTACACTGCTAATTGCTTTGGATGATATCACTGCTAGGATTTGCATTTCCAATGTGGCTTCTACTTTTTAATTATTTTTTTGATCTGTTTCTAAACAGGTGATCATAAACAGCACAATCACACCTAACATGACCTTCACTAAAACATCGCAGAAGTTCGGCCAGTGGGCGGACAGCAGAGCAAACACCGTGTTTGGTTTGGGCTTTCCCTCCGAGCAGCAGCTGACAAAGGTAATGGGGCTCCCTGAATTTCTGCAAAGGCTGCCTTGTTTTTTATTAATGAAGAATGGTATATATCCATCCGATCTCTTCAGAGCTGCATGCTTCTGCAAGTCCTTTTCATCTGTGCAAGTTGCCCATCTCCTGCAATTACCTCGTGTCTGTATATACAGAGGCAGGCAGTATTGCAAACTTTATGGTCAAAACTATAAATTAAATCTGACCACTGACAGTGGTACTGGTGAGGTTATCTCAACAGTGTTTTGCCCAACGTGGTTGAAAGCATTTGTGTTTTCAAATGTTTACAGAAAACACCTGAACTCTGAAGTATTTTTTGACATCTCCCTGCCCTGTGTGCTCATTTCAGATGAAAATGGCACCAAAAGCAAGAGGAACTGCTGATACACCAGGACTGTTGGCATTAGGGCTGCCTAATGTGTTTGAAAGAGGAAAGTTGCTGTCCCAGCCTCAGCAATGTGTATTTTGGTGACCTGCCCCCATTGGTGGCTAACTGGGGTAGAGCAGGTGCCAGCCCCCGGGCTTGCTGGTGTCCTGGTTTTGCAGATACCACTGTTGGCAGGGCCGTGCTCTCAGGAGGCTCGGTAAACTCATCTGGGTTAAAGAATGCTGCAGGTTTGGCATTTCAGCTCGGTGGTGTGATTCCTTGGAGCAGGGGCTGGCTACAAGAGCAGACCTGTAAAGTCTGGAGCTGTCTCTTGTAATGAATAACCAGCAGTTCACAATACATCCTCTGTCATTAGATTAGTGGTCTTGCCAAGTGCTCATCGAGCAGCTGAGATGTTTGTTTGTTCATGTAGTAAAAAAACCCCCTACTTATCTAACACACAGATGACACTTGAAGCATGGCTACTTGGCGCTGGGTTTTGTCAGTTAACTCAACATTGTGTCCTTGGGCATGGCACACAGTCTCTCCTGTTGCTGTCTTCTTGTACGCTGTGATAAGAAAAGAATCAGGAGAACAAAATGTTTCTTGTAGTGTCTAAAATAGCAAAGGCAGACCATTGCGATAGAAGGAGGACCTTTCCATCAACTGAATTGTTATAGGAATTTATTTTACTAAGTCTGTCTTATTTGCAGTTTCTGGAGAATTGCAATTTTTGCAAGTATTTCTTAAAAGTAAAGCATATTTTACTTTTCACGTTAAATTATTTTTGGACTTGGCATGTCCAGGTACCATGACAATAACCTGCTCTTCTGGGATGCTAAGGCCACCTAATCAATCACATGCAAAACTCTTTTTTAAAATTGGGTGCTGATGCTGGTTATGTTTTATGATGCTTACTCAAGCGTAGAGGACTGCTCATTTCACCTATATCCTCCACTCCTGTGACACAGAGGTGTTCATAGTACCTAGTAAGTAGTATGGGAATATGGGAGGACTAAGGTGGACCTAGGGAAATAGTTTGGTTTGAGTAACAGATAAGCATGACACAGTACAACCTTTGGACACCTGGTGAAAGAATTGGCATCACTGGGTAGTAATTTTTAATCACAGGTTCCTGCAGTCACACCTCTGCAGCACGACAGGTGACCACATGGTGCCTTGGTGCTGGCTGGGGTTAACCATGCACCATCCTGAGGCTGGCTCAGGAGATGAGAGGTGTAACAAGGCACAAGGTACATCTGGAGGTCCTTGCACCCTAATCAGAGAGATTTTACCCTATTCTCCAAAACTGTCCAAACACACGCTTAGAATGAGTTTAATGCTGGTATCAGAAAGCAGCTCTTTAATCTTCTTGTGGCCAGACTAGAGCCAATCTGCAAAACATACCGTGTGGGCACAGGGGCCTCGGCATCAGCTGCGTTTCTCTCCAGAATGGTTTGCACATCTGTTTGCACTGCAGGATCTGCTGAAGACCCCATTGCCAATAATACAGCCTTCTACTTGCAGGAAAAGCTTTCCAAATCAGCAGAAAGACTTTTTTTCTTCAGAAAATTGAAGGGGAGTTTAAGGGAAAATGACTCAAGGTGATCTATTTAAAAAAAAAAACAGTTATCTATCTGGAAAATGGTAGAAAACCTGGTGTATTACCACCATGCCGAGTAATGGAACAAGATATCCTGTATCATCCATGCTCCTCAGTTTAATTATTGAACCACGAGTCTGAAAGATCAGAGATGGTGGAGAGATTACTGATGTATAAGTGTATTGGGAGTGGTCAAATCAAGTTTCATTTTGTGTTGATATCATTACACTCTTATAAAACATATAAATTAAAGCTTTCCAGTTTTACTGGAAATAATTGAAGCTTTTAGTCAGGAATTGGAAGGACACACTAAAACTCTGCAAAACCAGAGATCAATAGCCCTGGCTTAAAATAAATAAATAAAATAAAGCTGAAATATGTCTGCTGAAAGCAATGAATAATAATGAGACATGAGAAGTGGTTAGCACGCCTGAAAACCTCTGCATATGTAAGTGCATTGGTTGGCCTAATAAAAGATATTGCCTCTTTCTAATGCCTTCCTTCTTTTGAGATGCTTAAGCATTAATGCATACCTATTGGGAAAAGCAGTTCAAATTAAACACGAGCCATTAATGAAAACTGCATTCAGTGACCTAGTAACCTAATTACCATTCACATCGATTGGGAGAATCCCAGGGCTTAAAGTTGATGTCCTGCTCAGGGTCCTTTCCCCTCTTGCAGGACTTGCTGACCCTCCTCTCCCCCCTTCCCACCCTGTGCCTCCAAAGGGTCTCAAGTCATTATTGAAACATTGCTACAGCCAAATCGAAACAGGAGTCGAAAGAGACTTAATTGTGTGCCTGGGTGTGATGAAGAGGCAGGGCAGGTGCTGTTAAGGTAGTGATGTGGTTTGCACATGAAGCAGTTAAATAAAATTTCTGCTTTCATTCAAGATGCTTCGATGCAGATGTGCTGTCGGAGGAGCTGTAGGTAGTCAAGGGCGTAGGGACAAACATTTATACAGGTGAGAAACCCAGTAAACTCAGACTTTGCACATCATAAACCAACCACATCCAGCAACTGGGGAGCACTGGACTTTTATGCGTGTGGCATTTGCCAGGCACTGTGTGGCAGGGGAGAAAGCTGGGAGCAGAGCCTGCCCCTGCCCCGGCACACAGCACAGCCCCCCCATTCCGACCAGCTTTGGTGCTTCTTGCTGTGCTAGAGCAAATGACTGGCCACTTTCTGGGGTAAATAGTCTTATTTGCTGCCAATCTGCCTGGTACTGAGGACTCATCCAGAGAAAACCATGGGCAAAGCAATGTGTGGATTGTAGGTCACGGCACAGCAGTACTCCCCAACGGGACCGTCGCATCACCCAGCCTTCTGCAAACTGAGAGGGCGATGAAATATTTATGAGACTGCTTCGGGTGGGAGCAGCTGTTTCATCTGTCTGACACTGGCACAATTTGTCCAGTAGGAGACGTAAAATATTAAGCTAGATCAGGAGCTTAAAATTTACACATACAAAATAATGTTTTTTAATGTATAAAATGTTAAGAAGGTCTATTTAAATATATATATATTTCTCCAGGTGACAAGCTGGCTGCAGATTTGAACAGCCTTCAAATAATCCCTGCAATGCACAGTAGCATCCTTGAGTCCCATTAAATTTCACTGGCCAAGACTCATCATCAAACAGGGCTCATGGGCTGCAGCTGCCTTGGACTAAAAGGCTTCACCAGTGCTGGTAGCAACAAACCTTTTCCATATTGCAGCTTGGTCTCACATCTTCCTGCGGCAGGGGAAGGCATGCCATAGAATCCATGATGGACTATTGGAGTGGTGTTTAGTTGGCGTTTCTCCTCCTCCAGTCTTTTTTTTGCTAATTTTGTCCTACCTGAGGACAAGGGTGGAGGACAGGGAAGATGAAGGGAGTGAAGATAGATGGAGAAGGAGCATGATGATTTTTTACTTTGCTTTAGATATTTATACATGCGTTGCCCCTCAAGACCACATTTCCCAAGTTTTAATTTCCTAAACAGAAGATTATTTCACTTTTTAACTATGAATTTCATATTTAAAAAGCACTCCCTATTGTTGCAGTGGTTTGATAGCTCAAAGTCGTCTTAGATCTTGGAGGTGACACGTGATTTTTTGGTGTCAATTATTTGTGTTTGGGACAGAAGAGACTGGTTACTGGAGAGAAAGCATCTCTCTCATTTCTGCCAGATGCTGTGGCCATGCTGTCACTCTCAGAGACAGCCTTGGGACCCAGGTAGCTCCAGAAGCGCCTGATCTGCTGCCATAGCAATTAGCGTTGGTAATGCTGCACAAGTCTGGGCTGTCACCACCATGTTGCTGCACTCAGAAGAGTAATCAAGTGAAAGGCTTTAATTTCGTAACAAGCCAAGTGATCCTCTGTAGCTTTCAAAAATGTTTACTGTTAGTAAGATCGAGCAGGTATTAATTAGCGAAGAATAAAGCCCAAGCAGCAGCAGAACTCTTCACGGACGGACGGATTCCAAGTGCACGGGGTAAACAAGAACTGGAGACAAGCTTTCCCCACCGTTTCTGTTACAGCCCTCTTTAAGTTTGTACAAAAGTAGGAATGAAGGGTAATATTTTGACTCTTAAAGCTGAAGATCTGTCACTGAGATGGTGAAGGATTATTGGTACTAGTTTCTAAAAGCAAATGTGTTAGATACATGTATTGGTAGAGACATGACTGAAATCTGTTGTGCAATGAGATCATTATCAGTTTTACGTTGAAGATCAGCTTTGCTCAGTCATATAGAAGTTTTGATTAGGGAAATGTGGAAAAAATGTCCTTTTCTTCTCTGCTCACATAATTTTTCACAGCAGTCTCCTGTGTGCTTTATGAAGATAGCTGCAAAAATAAAATTTGATAGATCACTTCCAATTCTTTTTGTCTTTTCATATTTCATATAGTCCATGAAGAACACTCATAAATTTTTCATACTTGCCCATAAAGATTTATTGTAAAAGAGAGACTCAAAACAGCCCTTTACTATTTGCAAGAAACCTAAATGTAGAGCTTGCTGTTAATACAATATTTTAGAAATAATCAGTTTGTTAAAGCTGTTTTATCACAGCAGAAGATACATTTTGTGTAAAGTTGGAGTTAAATCACTTAAAGCAAAAATGTGATGTAGTCATTCCTGATGATCTTTATAGTGCTACAAAGGTAATCAAGTCATTTGTGTGTAGTGACTGCACATGCCATCAGATAGCAACTGCTGCCATCAGGGGACATACTTTGCATATGCAATTTCAGCTGTTGTACAGAAAACAGCTGGATTTGAGAGCTCGATCTTCATTCTTAAGCATTGTCACAGATTGTAGTCTACACCTGAAATTTCACTCGGCTTTGGGGATGTGCTTGTCCATGAGATTTATGAATAATGTGTGTGTGTTTGTTGGAAATTTCCATTTGTGTGTATTACACAGAATAAGGGTGCCTCCACATATAAATCCAGATTTCTCTTAGACCAGTTGGAGATTTCTTTTATCAGTCTTTATAGTCACAGTTTTTTACTGAGAGAGAACATACTAAATACCTGCTATAAATAAAAAAGTTAGAAGATAAGATTAGTAAGTGGATGATTCTTCCCATTCCTGGACTATAAAATGTGATGGGTTTTCATGCTTTCATTTACAATTTTGTCATGTGTTCTGAATTATCCGAGGATATAATGGCAATCCTTTTGTTCACCAACTGTGCAATAAAATATATCTATTTCTATTTTTACTTTTAAAATGTCTTTCCTTTCTAGCATTTCAAGTTTCTCAAAATGCAGGCAAGTGAGACCAAGCTGCTTTAGCAGAAAGACAAAGTTACCCATTCATATACTGGATACATCTTAATTAAAAGAATAAATTATGAACTATGCCTTTTCTTCCATCTTTGCAATCCTCCTTTTAAAACTTTAAACACTGTTTAAAGCCCTGCAACACTGTGATAATACTCACTTTTCAAAAATGCCAGGCTGGCTTCGGAGCAGATGTCCTGCAGCAACTTGCAGAGATTGGGATCCTTACTTTGCATCTTATCCTTCCTTTCCCCTGCCTCCCCTACTTTGATATAACCCTCTTACAGGAAGTATTCAAGCCTTTCCCTGAAGTCTTCTATCTTTGTTTTTGCCAGTAATAAGAAAATTAGACCAGAAAAGCTGTGTTTTCATATGGCCTCATCATACATTCAGATCTACCTTTCTCTCCTTTTTTCTATGTCTTGATAATCCATTGCTCGTATCCTGCAGACGTCTCATGAGCTCATTTGCATTCTTTAATTTAATTGACCTGCTCTTAGGAATAGAAGACATTGATAATTTTTTTATCCAAACACATGTCATTCATACTTTCAATTTTAATAGACTGTCAGCAAGAAATGAAAGAGAAGAGGGGGAGGAAATAAATAAAACCAAATCAAACCAGGAGACGCTAACAGCTCCTTTTTCTCCAGGGGTTTTCACTGTGATTGACCAGAGGTACAGAGATGTCCCTCTTTTAGAAACACCCACATTCCTTTTGAAAGAAACTCCCTGCCAAAGAATGAAAGTGTTTTATTCTGGCCAAAAATTTCAAATTGTCAGAATTAGTTGTTCGCTTTTGGAGGTCTGTGAACCATATAAAGACAGTAATCTGAACAGCTTAATAGATGATAAATCATTTTATTAAACATCTTTCCTGCTTTTTCCAGTTTGCAGAGAAATTCCAAGAAGTGAAAGAAGCTGCCAAACTAGCAAGAGACAGGTCTCAAGAGAAAATTGAAACCTCAAGCAATCATTCCCAGGTTTGTCATTTAGCTTTAATACCTGTGTGCATACAGGATAAATAATTTAAAGTTAAGTTTTCTAATGGACTGTACCAGCTCCTGGCAGCAGGCTTAAAGTATATAAAATGAAGATTGCTGAAGGTAATTGTCAGCTGCTGGACATTAACGTTGTCAGAGGAATATTTTTCATCCATCCATGCTCTTTGCCTTCATTTATATCTAATTTTTTTCAGCAGTCCTTGAGCTGTTATAACTTTTTTAATAACAAGGAAAGCTATACAGCCTTTGATTTGTGCTGTTATACATACTTTGGGTCACCAGAAAGTAAGTCAGTGCAGTGCTTCAGCAGAGGTTCAATGAGATTCATCAAAATACTGATTTTTGTCATCTGTGCGATGTACTTCTGTAGGAGTTCAGTTTGGCAGTGGAGAGGCTGACGTTGTGGCCACAGCGTGGTTCATTGCCTGGGTGCGGTGAACTGGAAGCTGTGGGGTGTGAACAGAGGCAGTGCTTTAGTGAGTGGTTGGAAGCAGCTTGTGTTGCACTTTTGTGCAATACACTTTTCCAGACAGCGTACCTTGATACAGTGTCTCCATGTCCAGGGAGATGTGGGTTTCTTACAGATTGAGGAAATGGAGCATTGTCCCAGTCTCTATATGTTTGACTGTAATTTCATACACGTTGTGTTAGGTAGGAATGAACCCTGTTCAGTGGGCTAGTGTTTGAAGGAAAGTTAGACAAACGTTGATCAGAAAGAAATTCAGATGCGTGATCAGAAAAAAAAGTTGCTGAATGCTCTTAGTCTTGCAGCTAACCCCCTGTGTGGGTCCACAAGTATCCATCTGAGAGGCTGAATTTGGGTAGCTGTTTTTTAAAGACTTCAGTCATGGCCTTTATGGTTTGCTTTGTTTGTTCTCTGTTGCTGAATGGTGTGTCTTTGGAGGAGCAGTATTTTTTTTTTTATTATTTTTTTTTGGACTTTGTGTGCTTCCAGGTGTGCTGTATTGTTTCATTATCTTAAAGAAACCAAACAACCTTTAGAAAACACAAGCCTTGATAGTTAAAATGCTTAAAAAAAAATTTAGGACACTTTAAACTTTCATTTTGTGTTTCATTTTAATTTTTTTGTTCTTTTTAAACAGACCTGCTTTGCAGCCAAGATGCAAAGGGTATGTGTTTGTTACGGCTGCTCTGCCAGGAGAGCATATGCAGCCGAGGTCTCAGCAGGGTGGTGGGAGATCAAGATTACAAAGAAATTGGTGTTGTGGTGTTGCAGGAGATGCAGGAGACGCACAGTGTTCATTTGTGTGTTGTGCTGCAGGAATCTGGACGTGAAACACCATCTTCCACTCGAGCATCCAGTGTGAATGGGACAGACGACGAGAAGGCATCACACAGTGGTCCTGCTGAGGCACACCTCAAGTCTGAGAACGATAAATTAAAAATTGCTCTAGCCCAAAGGTGAAGTTCCTGTAGCACCTAAATCACATTGGAATAGTGTGCTGTAATTATCTGATGGCTAATGATATATTAACAGCAATAATTCAATGTAATTGCATTAATTTAAAATGATGCAGCAGAATGGGTGAATGAGCAGGTTTTAGCAAGTACCTCCTGGTATCCAGTTGAGAGGTATTTACCATTTAGTTTTTTTCCTGATCTAGTTAGTTTGTGCTGAAATAAGATCTCTTTCATTCTGCTGATGCCAACTCTTGTAACCACTTCCGTTTGTGAAGTTTTAGAGAGACAGCAATAACATCAAAGCCATGGGGGAGCAATTGCTACTGATAGCATGTGAAGCCAATCTCTTCTTCCTCTTTGAGTTTGCTACATTTACTTTGATGAAAATAGATACGGGTATTTAAAACTATAAAAGGGAATGAACTCAACAGTAAAAAGTTGAAGTGAGAAATACAATTTCACCGGGCTGCTTAGAAGTCTCGGGGAGATGTTGCTAAAGCTGTGGACAATGCCCCTTGAAGTCATATTTTTTGCTATTTTCTTTGATAAGTTATTTGAAAATGCTGAGAAGAGTAATTTGCAGCTGTAGTGAAAATACAGGCGTTGGAATATGCAGAGTTACAACATTAATATAGAATAATTCTCTAGTGGGATCTTGCCTTGTCTGCCTCTTGCATCTGAATGTATCTGTGAATGGAAAGAAAATCTAACAGTATCAAGCTACTCTCAAAAAAGCTACTTTAAAAAAAAGGCAGCAGCACCATAAGCAGCATTACGCAGTGAGCAATTCTAGGGTTGCATATATTATCTTTGCAGTACATCATCTCTATTGACATTTCAATAGTGTAACCTATTTCAAATCATAACATTTGTAAGACACCTCCACAGGCAAGCAGCAACCAGCGTGTGGGGACTTTCAAAGCTTCTTTCCATTCACTCTCCAATCTCGTGCTCTACGTTGCAGCTTGAAGCTTTGGGGAACTAATAGTTTAATTCTTCAGCATTGTGTAACACTTTTATATTTAAGGCAGAGCATTAAAAAAAAAAAATCAAACATAGGTAGTGTCAACCCCCTGACATCTTCTGTTCTGAATTATTGGACCATCTGCAAATGTGTGGAGTAGCTTTGTCACATGGGTACCGCATCCCCAGGCCTGCATGGCAGCAGGTGCTCAGCGCGGTGAGCACAGACCGTGCCCAGCGCCGGAGTGAACCTCTGTTTGCAGACAGTGGAGTTCCCAGCTAGCAGCTTAACCCCACAGCCTGCTTTGACAGCAGGACTTTTGCTCCAGACACACAGGTCACTGTTGCTGGAGTTGGTAGATCCCTTTGTTTTGGCAAAGACAGTCAAATTATGGCCGATATTCTCCATAGGCAGGCAGTGACTAAAGGCAATTACATACATCTGAGTGCGCTTGATCTCATAACAACAGAGTTGGTAAACGTGCCCCGTGGGTGGGTGACTGTGCAGCCAGGTAAAGAGCAGTGATATGTGGGATGATAAGGTGAAGCCACCTAATGGCACCCCGGTTTCTTCAGTTCATCCAATGTGAAGAAGTGGGAGACGGAGCTGCAGACGCTGCGGGAGAGCAACGCCAGGCTGAGCACAGCGCTGCAGGAGTCCGCGGCCAGCATCGAGCACTGGAAGAAGCAGTTCTCAGCCTGCAAGGAGGAGAATGACCAGCTCAGGAGCAAGGTAGCAGAGCATGCCCACAGGAGAGCCAGCTCTTGCAGTTCGCTGCTCCTGCCACGGCTCCTTCTCTTGAGTTTCTGCTGCGTTATCTTTCTGTGTGTGTTAGGAGATGGATTTTGTCTTTGAAGGGGCGGAGAATGGGGAGTTAAGCAGCTGCTTCCCTCTACACTCCATGGGCAGGGGAGTTTGAAGGGCTGGGGAGCAGCGGGAGAACTGGTGCTGGTGAAGCTCCCCGCCTCTTGGTTTGGGAGACTTGGTGTCAGCAGGGGATAAAACAGAAAGGTTTTAAAAGTGGGAGTACTGTTGCCTATCCGTTTCACAGCTCACTTCAGTGCTGCCAGATGATGAATGAGCAGAAGGCAAGGTTATGGCCTGGTTATCCACAGGAAACCAAGCTGGGAGCCACTCAGTGTTGGAAGTAAATCCTGACAGCGGGCAGAAGAGGAGGACGTGAGTTATGTCCTCAGCAGAGCGGGCTGTGAGCCGGCTCCTCTGGCACTAACACCCGGGACATCTCGTCCAAGAAACCTGCCAAGAGGCATCGTCAAATGCCTCTTCCCCTCCGTTACCGAGCACGACCTTTCTCAGTAGTGTAAGACCGAGGGTGAGCAGCAGCTACAGCAGAGAACAATTGAGAAGTTTAAATTTTTAAAGCCTCGGTTTAGAGTAGTCATTGGTATTGTCCCTCAAATAATACTGTGCTATCTGTCAAGAGCTGGTAGCAGCCCCACACGGTGCTGGGCACAGGGGAGACTGTGTTCCCTGAGCACCACTCACAGGGAGAGTTTCCCTCTGTTCATCTGAAATGTCTTTGAAAAAGCTGGACCTTTTCCCTGCTCACTTAGATGGATCACTGGGGCGTTTGGTGTAGAGATCAGACTGTATCCGTCTGGTGAGGATTCTTTTTTGGTCTAGTGCTTTTGAAGAGGGGAAGGAATTTCATATCTTTCTGTATGTCAGTAGGCTGCAAATAGTGTATCAGCATTGCAGGTGGCCTGGGTTGCCTGTCGGCACTGAAAATCCACATGGAGCAAGCTTTTCCCTCGGCAGATACTCTCTGTCTGTTCACATGTATTTTCAGTGTGCACAGCGATAATTCAGAGTTCAAACCAGAGCTGTATTAACTGATGTTACATTAACAAATTAATATTAATCGTTACATGATTTGGGTTCCTATATCCAGTCTTCTTTTGGATAGAGGAGGAGAGGCATAATTTGCTATTTTCTGCTAATTGCTAACTACTAATTGGTAGGTTTTTACTCTTCTGTACTGCTGCAGAGAAAAGCTGTTCTCATTAACATTGACTGATGAAACACGCTACAGCTGGGTAGCTGTAGCCTAGATATGAAGAGATTATCAAAACAGTGCCTTACTGCAACCACAAAGTTATCATACCGGTGACTAGCCAGGCTGTGCAGCAATGCTCTCTGTATTATACGCCGTCTTTTCCTATGCAGAGAGATTTTCCTGAGCTTTTCCCCCAAGTAGGTTCCTTGCTCGGCGCTCACACTGCACTACTGCAGCGCCTTGGGAAGTTCCTTCTCCTTTATTAATTGGGTCAGAATTTTTTGCATATTGCTCTGCCTTTAAATGAGGGAAGTTATAATCCCAGAGCAACAGGAAGCTGAGAATTAAAATACATACTTTAATGAGCTGGCCCGTCAGCCTGTGGGAAGTGCATCTCCTGGGAGCTAAGTCCAGAGGTGGCAGGAGGAGGCAGGGAGAGAGCAAAGCATGTCCCTGGGTGGGAGAACAAAGCGGCGTACATTGCTCTGAGCTGGTTCTTCCCCCAAAGTTTTGATGTTGTGTCCCTTGTACTCCAGCTAGAATAATAAGCAACCCCTGAGGAGGCAAAGCTGGGAGTGCTAGAGAGATTTCTTCTCCTTGTTGGTTTCATAGAAGTGAAGTGCAGATTTTATCCCCAGCCTCGCTTATTTTAGCAGCTCAGTGTTTTGCACATTCTTGAGTAATTATATGAGATACTGTGCGAGAGAGAATAAACACAGTCCCAGGGCTTCCTAGTAGACCTGTAAATTGCCTCTTTTTAGGAAAGAAGCAATAATTCTGTTGTAGTGAATCAAGTGCTATGACCTGGGAAACAGATCCATGACAAATTAAAATTGTCCATGCTCCTCACTGCTCAATGGAGCAATGCCCCTTTACATCAGCCACGATCTGCCCCAGATTTACAGAAATTTGAAAAAATTTACCTAATGTCTGACATTTCTTAAAGATTGAAGAACTGGAGGAACAGTGCGATGAAATAAATAAAGAGAAGGAAAGAAATGCACAGCTGAGTAGACGTCTCCAGGAACTGGAAACAGAGCTTCAGGACAAAGAGCTGGTAAGTGCCCTGAACACAGAAATTACATACTCTAGAGTTTGAGTTGCTCTGTCTGCTATTCACTTGGGGTGTAGATTCATGGAGTGACTCACCTACAACCAGAAGAAGCCCAGTGTCTCAGGGTGTCACCCATTTCTAGATTTTCCATGTTTAGCAGTATTCTGATAGTGTTCCTCAGTCTCAGTGTCAGGATGTGTTACGCACTGTGACAGCACACTTGAATTTGGCAGTGGCTAACAAACATAGCACTTTCATTTATACAACATTTGACTCCTAACAGAAGAGCTGGAACAGTGAAACAAGTTGCCCAAAGCCATACAGACCTATGCTGAGGACAGAGTTCTGGTTGCCCGTCCCCATGTCCTGAACTCCTGCAGACATCAGGACCATCATTAAAAAACATAATTTACAAAAAAACTTGGTTTTTGTGTAACAAGTCCTGTTTCTTTATCTGATGGCTTGTAGTCTTCAGCTTTGCTGTTGTACGGCCTCCCTCTGCTCTCAAGACTAATGCCAAGAGTGAGAAATTCAGATTCATTTAGAGTACCCCAGTTTGTCATTTTTGACATACAGGGTGTTCATTTTTCTAAGCAGAATGATGTTGATGGCTTGGGACCCCTGAACAGTGGGGAAAATAATGGGATCCTTGGTTTTTTCCTTCGTTACAGTGACCAAATGCTCTGTGCTGGCTGAAGAGAAAAAGCTGTCAGCAGGTGCAGGGAAGTTTGCTATGTGCCATTACAGCATCTCTGCTGGTGCTCTTAAAAGCAGTGCTGTTAAGGAGTTGTAAGATGGCACAAGTTTAGGGAGATGGATTTTGATGCACTGTTATAAATATAATATGGTTTTCAGCCCCATATTTCAAAGGAAAATGTCATGCTTTCTTCCCAACCTGTCTGTGGTAATAGCATGTATAATATCCCTTATTCCCTGCCAGGGTTTTCCTCAGGAGTCACATTTTAACTGTACCAGATGAACCAGAAAATTGATTGACTTGTGAATATTACATGCCTGTCTTCCATTTACACTGACAAAATACTAACTTGTTTCCAAACTGCATACTTCCATTAGCAGGTTCTTGATTAGGTCTAAACCATCCGTAAGTAACCTCTTCACGGTCTGCAATTCAAACCAGCATGCAGCCTGCTCATGGACATGGCTGTGTAAGGGGAGCTGCTGGTATTCTCTTCATATAGGAAGAAAGGAGAGAGAAATGTAAAGACATGGGAGTCAGGACAGAGCTATCTAGTGGAAAATTGATATTTTTATACATATACACCATATGCCTTGTACCATATATAGTGTATATACACACACTGTATTATACTATCTATAGTAACTAAGCAGAATAGCAGTATATATATAAAGTATATATAGTATTTCTATTTTGAGATGTGAGCCCCTAGGCATTATTTGCGTATATACAAATATATATGCTTGGGAGCTCATATCTCAAAACCCAGGGTAGTTACCCTTTCTTTCTCTTCTATCAGCAGCTGGGTTGTTGCCTGAATAGACTTGCTGTTACATTAGTTAAATTCTTCAGTGCAGTTTACAGAAAATCTATAGTATTATATGATTTGTCCTCTCATATTAATGTGAACTAATGCTGAAAACAGGAGGAAGGAGTAAAAGCAGTTAAGAGTTGTGCTGGAGTTACAGAATTTCTCAAAAAATATATTATTGGTGTATAATGGTGCTTTTGGCAAACCTCGGAAGAAAGCAAAATGATCTTCAGGATACACTGGGTTCTTGTGAAATTTTGGAGAGTCTGGAAGTGCTGAATGCTGCTGTGCTTTGAGCAAGGGAATCAGGGGCACCTGAGGAAAAATGTTATCGTCTGATTCTGTGGAAGAGACTGACTTACAGACTCTGTTGCACTCGTACTGTGCTCTAAGTTCACCTGCTAGGGAAGAAATCACATTTTGTAGCCAAGAAATCAGCCTTTCAGATAGAACTGGTTTTGCTGTCCTGTGTCAGTATGGCTCAGAGAGGACATACCCCTGCTTACTGCTGGGAGCGTCGCCTACATGGCCAGTTTCTGAAAAAGGATCTTGCACTGTGTTCAAGGCATAGAGTTTCTTGGACCTGCAGATGTGCTTTTCAGATGCTCTGACAATCCTTCTGCAAAACCTATGGGGT